TGTGATTGATTTCGCATGATATGCTTATACCTAATGACGCCTACGAGTGCTATATCTCCTATTCTATAGAAATCGTGGAAAACAACTGATAGTTTATAGTTTTTCAGGTACTAAACCTTCCTAGTAAAGGGTTAGTTTTCTCTCCGAGTGTCGTGTCTCTCGAGGAGTGGGCGAAGGGAATTAGTTAACTTCTCTAATTAGGCGAAGGCTTGAACAGTTTCATGAAAGTCTTCTCGATACGAATAATAGAAGCAGAGCATAACAATAATAAATAAATTTCACATAGTATAAGTTCATATCTGAACCTAGGGTCAGAACATCATTTGAATATACTTTATCATATTTAATTAATAATTGGAATAAAACTATTTCTATTATTACTTACCTATTTCTAGGTTTTGTACTTAATCTGTTGCCTTGAATATGATAGCCTTTCGACATATAATATTTCCTCAATAAATAGATAATTAAATCTTCGATATTAATTAACCAAATATAGCAAGAATAATAGAGTAATCATTCCAACATTTATTTAACACTCAAAGTATACAACCAAACAAGTCCGGACCTAGGGGTCCGAACCCTAACTCATACTATGCAAACATAAATTAAAACATCATTTTATTAAATAAGAAAACTTACGGTACTCCAATTTAGCGAAACAGAACCGATCTATAGTCAAAACCTCCAAAATTACTTCAAAACTACTACTAAAACTAATATACAAAGTATTGTGAGAGTGAAACCCAAAATTGGGTTTTGAAAGGGCGTGAATGGTGCATGAAATGGACCAAAATCATATCGTTATTATAGGACCATAACCGCGGGCGTCCAACCCTCTGGCCGTCCAACTTGTCTCATCATGTTGTTATGTACCGGTGTAACTTGCATCTAGTGAATTAGTGGAGGGCTATTACACGGACGTGAGCCCCGCAGACTAGGAGAATTTGCTCCGAACTGCGTAAACATATCTGGTGTTATTTTTTACGCTTTTTACAGTTACAGCATTCTGTCCAGTAGGCGCTGTAACGCTCTCTGCATCATCTGCTTCTGTGTGTGCTTGTGACAGAGAAGTGTAATAGCACACTGTCCGTCATCTGTTACTGTGACAGTGTTGTAGCGTCTTCTCTGTAGCATAGCTCGTTGATTTGTTTGCATAGCTCTTAATTGGTGTTTTCCGCTGCGCCTCCACGAACTTACAATTGGTATCAGGGCGGTTAAGCTTAAGTTATTAGCTTGATCTTTGGGTGGTTCGTTGCAAACATTCATAATGATCTCTTAAAGAGTTAGCACACTTTTTGAAGCAAGATGTGGTATTGATGCAAATCCTGAGGGGGAGTAAATTACAGAAAAGGATGAAGCTCTAGCAGATTCAAATTGGAAGTACGTGCATGGATCGTAATGGTAGTTTTTTTTGTTTTGTTTTGCGCTTGTTATTGTTGTATGCTCTTAAAAGAACTTGGTATTACTTTTTTTTTACCCTAAATAAATTTGGCATATTTTATGTCAAAAAGGGGGAGAAAAGGCTTAGTTCTTAAAAGATGCTTTAATCTTTTATGCGCATGGTGCACAATGAATTTTGCCAAAAAATTGCCAAAGGGGGAGATTGTTAGTTCCATGATATTGGCTAATCTTTTAGCAAAATAGAATCCCATATGTGTTAGATGTTTTACTAGGTAGAAACCTCTATTTGTTAGAAGAGGTTTATTTTATTTAGAATTCTAGAGCTGCTGCAGTTTTCGAGGTTGACGTAGAAGATGCTACAGCACGATGCTGCAACACAGTGTGCGGGATCAGAGGTCTGAGCACGAGATTTTAAGCTGCAATCTGAATTAGAGACCTATTGGGGTTGTGATTACATGATAATAACTCCAGCTGTACATACTAAGGAATCCCATCTTTTTAGGCTACTTGTGGATCAAGATTAAGGAAGTAGAGTTCAAGCCAACTTCTACTATCATATTCCTACTAGGATTGTGTTAAGAGGAGTCTATAAAAACGCAGCTGGTCCCTGGGAATTACTTGGAGCGATTGAGAGGGAAAATACAGAATATACGTTGATGTAGAGTATTCCCGTCGCGACCCGGAGCTTCCCATGCGTGAAGAAGGTTACGATCTACATGAAGAAGGAGTCCTAGAGTGAAAAACAGATCGTGACGTCCAGAAGATGAACAAGAGCTGAACGAGTGGGCTGCCAACACATTTGTCCTCATGATCTCGATGGAGATGTGATAGCCGAAGCGGATCTGAACAGAGTTCGGGTTAGAAATCCTAGATTAGAAGTTTTGTCATAGCAATTTAGAGAAGGGTGTCTCATCATGTTGTTATGTACCGGTGTAACTTGCATCTAGTGATTTAGTGGAGGGCTATTACACGGACGTGGGCCCCACAGACTAGGAGAATTTGCTCCGAACTGCGTAAACATATCTGGTGTTATTTTTTACGCTGTTTATAGTTACAGCATTCTGTCCAGTAGGCGCTGTAATGCTCTCTGCATCATCTGCTTCTGTGTGTGCTTGTGACAGAGAAGTGTAATAGCACACTGTCCGTCATCTGTTACTGTGACAGTGCTGCAGCGTCTTCTCTGCAGCATAGCTAGTTGATTTGTTTGCATAGCTCTTAATTGGTGTTTTCCGCTGCGCCTCCACGAACTTACACAACTTTGGCCGCTCGTACCCGAATTACGTGTTCCGTCAATTAGCATCGCGCCGCGTGGCAAAAACATGTCATCCCTGGTCACTTGGGCGTCCAGCTCTTCTAGGCATCCAACTTTGGACGCCCGTACTCATATTACGTGTTCGGACCAATCGCTGATCGCTGTTCACCAACTTTGGACGCCAGGACTCGAATCCAGAGCTTCTTGCCTCCTTCGCAATCTTTCGCAACTTTGGGCCTAGTTTTGTCCTGAATTGATCCATTTTGCTCCCTAACACTGATTTTAACCTCCCGGAAGCTCGTTTAAGCCCGAATCTTAATCCCTTGATGATTCTTTCTCCTTTTCTAAAGGGCTGTTTGGCAACTTCTGAATAGGTAAGTGCTGAATCAGTAAGAGGTCTGAACCATTAAGTGCTGAACCAGTAAGAGGTCTGAACCATTAAGAGCTAATATATTACTTAACTATTCAGAGGCAAATGTCTGATCAATTCAGATAAGAGCTCTTAACCATTCAGACTCTGTATAATAATTAACCATTCAGAGGCAAATCTCTTAACCATTCAGATATCTGAACCATTAAGAGGCTGATACAAACAGTCTCAATCATTAAGTGCTGAATCATTCAGACATCTGAACCATTAAGAGGTTGAATCAAACAGCCCCTAAGTATTTGAACATAAAATGGATGGTTTATAACTTTGAAAGGTATTAAATACATTTTACATATAAAAATTTACTCTCTCTGCCCCAAATTATAATGCATGTTCACTATTCACAGAGTCAAACTTCATTCACTTTCTTTCTCTATTTTCATTAGCAATTTGATAAAATAAAGTTCTATTGTCACTACTAATTTTATAGATTTTTTGATATAGTATTTTAATATGTAATTTTTATTTTTTAACTATACACCATTTGTCACTTAAAATGATTTCAAAATAATTTCAATCAACATCGTAAACCGAAACAGGCGTTATAAAATGGGATAGATGGAGTACCAAATACTCCCTCCGTCCTAAAATTAACTTCTCATTTGACTTTTCACGGTCTCCAATGCGACACTTTGACCATCAATATCTCAATTTTTATATAAATATACTTTATAAAAATTATATATTTTAAAACTATATTCCAAAATGAATCTAATCCTAATAAATTTATATGAAAATTCAATGTATTTTTTTCTTAATTTACGGTCAAAGTTTAAAAAGTTTGACTGCAAAAGTCAAACTGAGAAATTAATTTTAGGACGGAGGGAGTAAGAAAATAAGAAGATTATTTGTGGACAGAGCAAAAAGGAAAGTTCGAAGATTAAATTTGGACTAAGGGAGTATATTTTACTTCTGTTTGGTATGATTTCTTTTTCTAAAATTGAATTATGTACGAAAATATGTACTACATACTCAAAAATAAATATTTTGTTCAAAAATGAGTTTTATTGTTTATGTACAACAGGAGATATGGTATAGGTATTCGAAGTTTTACGGTAAAGAGAGATTCTATTGACCTCAGTCCACCAACCTTCCAAGTTCTGGACAATAGACCCCAGTGTCTATTACGGAGTAATTCTCGGACGTCCGGCCTGTATCCATCAATAATAGAGTACTCGGTAATAAACAAATATTTAAAACAGCACACATAGATATGTTTAATCCAACACTTAACTCCGTAAGGGAGTTCAGTGTAGGGTTGTAAATGAATCGAATATTTTTTGTTCGATTCGTGATTCGTATTCGTTTAAGGTGATTCGTATTCGATTTTTTCAAATCCGAGTACGAATACGAATCTGAATAAATATTCGAATCCTTATCGAATACGAATATGAATCAAGGGTATTCGATTCTTGAGTTTGACAAATATATTCGGAATATAAATCTAATTATACAAATTATATATATATATATATATATATATATATATATATATATCAAATGGTTATAAAATATTTTAAAATCTAAATGAGCTGAATATTTTTAAACGAATCGAATATATTTAAACAAATTGAATATTTAAATGAACTGAATATTTTTAAACGAACCGAATATATTTAAACAAATCAAAATATTTAAATGAACTGAATATTTTTAAACGAACCGAATATATTTAAATGAATCGAATATTTAAACGAACCGAATACGAATCTTAAAAAATATTCGAACCAAATTCGAATTCGAATATCACTCCATCTTAACGAATATGAATATTTTTTATGAATATTCGATTCGATTCGGTTCGTTTACAACCCTAGTTCGGTGTAAATAAACCAAATTATCATAGGAAGGTAATCGGAAGTTGCTATGTAAATTCATCATCATCACCCTAACCCCAACTATGATGGATGGGGTTTAGTAATATGTAATTTATTGGACACCACAGCTTTGTGCAAAAAGCAGCAGCGTCAATGTTTTTATTCGGACGCCTTTCATGTTGCAGCCTTCTTACATAAAAGAAATAATGAAACACCAAATTCAGTAGTAGCAGTAGTGGATTATACTGTCACAATGAGAACCACTGGTTCGGATTTCAGAAATAAATAAGCATTTAAACAACGTAATACCTAAACACAAGGTTACAATCCGAATGCTACCCTTAGAACATAATCAGGGCGCCTTTTGCCGGGTGCCCGAAGTAAGCCTGCAATCTGCAGCTCAATTATGGCCCTACAAAACCTTGCTCTAGGCAACTTTAAGTCAAGGATGCAAAATGTTGATTACGAATGTATGCAAATCTCAATTCCCATCACAATGAGATCCACAGCTATATGCTACCCCAAACATCATCTTACTCAGTACTCTGTATTTTTTTTTGTATTACCTTAAGTACCTTAATTATGAGCAACAAACTTTCAATGCACACTATTTTCTCTTCTGGCATCCAACTACCCCCCCCCCCCGCACACCACCACACACAAACCACACCATCTCTGAAAAGAAAAAAAGGATACTGTATTGATGCATCAGATTCGTTTTGAGGAACACTTGAGACCTTTCTCTTTTTTGGTGAAGGAAGCTGCCTTGATCGTTGTTTACGGCAAGAAATGGTTGCCTTAAAAGACTGAAACCAGTCGTGAAGGTTGATGAGATCCCCATGCTCCTGAGCCAGCATATACCTATGACAAGAAAAAGTTTAAATCTTCAAAACAAAAACCAGCTGAGTCGAAGGCATAATATCCAGCATTGGCGATGCTTAATTGGAAAGGTCAAGGATGAGACTATTACAATTAAAGGGCTTGAGCAAAAAAAAATCATGAAGAATGTGACTTCGGATCATGCAACACTTGACCATGGCATTTAAAACAAATTTAATTTTATTTACATTTCTAGAGAATTTTGTGGCTATCCATATCAAAAACATCTTACATGATTGAAGTATCGTGCATGGATGGTGACAGCAAAATACCACCCTTGCTGCAACAACAACACTTGAGTATTTTTTGGAACTCAAGAAGATCACTTTGAATTCTTCTCCTTGGGTTTCCTGTCAAAGCCTGATTTCAATTTTGAATAACACTCTCAGTCATCCAAATGTAAAGGTGTATTCAGTTTCATATTGTTTTAAATTTAAAAACTGAGTCAGAGATTGAGCACAGAATATTCAACTAAACCTTCGCCAAGATCATATACAGGAATGAGAAAACAAATACTCCCTCCATCCAACAAGAAATTTCCACCTTGTGATTTTCTAGTCAATTGTGTTAAAAGATATATATATATATATATATATATACATATACATATACATAAACATATACATATATATATATATATATATATATATATACTCCCTCCGTCCATTTTTAATGTTCGGACTTTGACTTGGCACGGAGATTAAGGAATGTTAAATTTTACATTGACTTCCCAATTATGCCCTCCCAATTTTCTATCCCAACATCCTATCACTATCACCCGTTCCCACTCTCTCCAGGCCCCAGCAATCTCGTCGACAACCTAGCAGGAGTGTGCTGCCCAATTGTATCATTCCAACCAAAATCAGGGAGAAATTCCGGCGACATAATTCCGGCAACCTATTCCCACGAGTAGAAGAATCAAAGGAGATTGAAAGAAGACGAAGATGAAGAAAACTTGAAAAAGATCCTTCTTTATCCCTAAAATCCTTCACATATTTGAATTAGATTTCTCAGATCTAAACCAAATCTGAAGGGAGAAGAAGATGAAGAAGAAAAAATCGGGTACCAAATTCGAAGGAAAATCAGAAGGAAGAAAAAAAAGAATGAAAGAAGAAGAAGATGCAGATGAAGAAATTAGGTACCAGATCCGAAGGAAAATCAGAAGGGAGAAAAAAAGAATGAAAGAAGAAGAAGATGAAGAAGAAAAAAATCGTGTATCAGATCTAAAGGAAAAACAGAAGGGAGAAAAAAAAAAGAATGGAAGAAGAAGAACGAATGAAAAGAACAGGGAAGAAAAGAAATGAGAGAAGAAGAAGAGAGAAGAAGAAGAGAGAAAAAAGAAAGAAAGAGAGAAGTGGGTGAGGAATGGTTGGCGAGAGGAAGAAGAAAAAGAAAGGAAAAAGGGTGGAAGGGTAGGGGTAGTTAAGTCTTTTTAGTATAAAAAAGTTTCCAAAAAAGGAAACACGAACATTATTTATGGACGGACTGAAAAGGAAAGTACGAACATTATTTATGGACGGAGGGAGTATATGTATGTATGTATGTATGTATGTATGTATGTATGTATGTATGTATGTGTGTGTGTGTGTGTGTATGTATGTATGTATGTATGTATACATATATATACACACACACACACACACACACATATATATATAATTATATATACATCACTCAAAGTGTTTTATGACTTTATATTTGACTAGAAAAGTCAAAGATGGAAAAATCTTAGTGGGACGAAGGGAGTACATGCATCTATATAAGGTAGAGAAACTAACAGGAACAGACTTCTGTTAGAACAACTACTGCCAGCCAGAAACATATATTAATATATTACTTCAGTACTTGTGCAGTAACTTGAACAGACAACTAATAAAATTTCTATGATGATACTTAACTGATTGCAGTTTGTCAACATCTTTGAAGCAAACAATTTCATGAAATGGTATAGACTCAATTGGCTGCAAGTATTCCCTGTTTAACAGGATAAATGAAACATGTGTTTCAAACATAACAACAAATAAGAACCTTCAATGGATTATGCCAGTTATTCATGATTGAAATGGTCCACTAATTCATTTAAAATGTAAAAATAATAACTCCTTGGTAGATTTTGTTAGCCTTATTCCAGTTAACATGATCGACACTGAAGCAAAATTCCATCGCTATATTTCAGGTTACGCCTTGTGTACACCACTTGTATATTAAGTTACACACTTCCCATTTTTTGCTCCTACCAACACACACTTTTGTTCAAACAGACAAAAATGATTTGTGCAATGTCTATGAGAGCCCTCGCCAACATACGGCTTTGTGAGTCTAAAATAAAATGTGTATCGGTGCATAAAAACAAATTGCCCTATTTTTAAATCCCACGTTTGAACTTCCGTCATATGTACTCCGCCATTTTCTTTCCTACCCATCCAAATATGTTAGTTTTATGGTTTAAGCTTGATACACTATAAAGGTACTCGTTTTCTACCTCTCATACACAAACACGTGTCTATAACGTAATATGTGCTTATCATGTAGGGATTCTACCTTGTGAAATGCGTGAATTTTGTCCAACCACCAGGCCATCTAATTAGTTATACTCCCTTTGTCCCATAAAAAGAGTCAAATGGGAGAAAAGAGATGTTAATTTTCATTGCATCAAACATTTTCAAATAAAAGAATTATGCCAAACAAGTTAAATATGTTAAATTTAGTTAAACTGACAAAGGAACTTGAAAATATAACTATATTTGACAATTTTGAATTATTATAGACTTGTAGCTCACCAAGATTGAAAAGTTGTACTTTGGAGAAACAGGACTTATTATGGAATGGAGAGGGTTTCATTCAGTTTTTTCAAAAATTCTGCAAGCACAAAATTCCCATTGCTACTATGAAAGTGCATCCATACATATAGGAAAAGGGAGTGCATAAATGTGTCTAAGACTCTAAGTTATCTTTCTCTATATATTTAAATTTTAAATACATTTGTGGAATATCTGTTTTAGCAAACCACACTGATTGAATGAATGGAAACAGTTTGTTCTACAATTTATTTCAGGGTTAGTAAATTTATGCCACTTTTGCCATGAATTTTCAGTGCCCAATCTCACTCCTTAGTTAGACCAAAAAAAAAATTATGATGGGATCAGTTGTAAAAGGAAAATTGTTTGTAGATAAGCTAGTCCATGTTGGTTAATTCCAGTCCAGAATTAAGTTTAAATTTAAAAATAAAAAAAGAGACAGGCAGTTAGGCAGTTAGACAGGCAGTTTTATGACAGTTTCCAACAGTTGAGTTGGTTAGAAACTGTTGTGTCTATTTGTAATGGTTGTGTTGTTTAGTCCTCTATTTATATGTATGGAAACATAGTTCTGGATAGCAGTTCCACAATAAAAAAACACACTGTTTCTATACTTTAGATCTGTCATTATTTCTATCAATTGGCATCAGAGCCCTGGTAAAAATAAAAACATCAAACACAGATCTGTGAACAGTAGTTGTCTTGCAATACACCTTTAAAAAATAGTCTGTGATGGAGGCCATCAATACTAAAAAAACAAACGATGTTGTTGCTGTTACCCCAGTTCGAGATGGAGGCTCGACAACGTACCAATGTCCTGTACTCACTACAACAAATTATACATCTTGGGCTATCAAGATGCAGTTGTTTATGGATGCCCAAGGAATTTGGGATGCCATAGAACCACCGGATGCGATGGAGGTGAACGTCAAGATCCGGAAGAAGGCAAGGGCCTTTATCTTCCAGGCACTACCAGAAGACATTCTGATGCAAGTAGCAGGACATGCAGAGGCCAAAGACGTGTGGGATGCCCTTAGGGTGCGTTATCTTGGAGCCGATCGGGTTAAACAAGCACGAATCCAAACTCTAAACAGAGAGTTTGAACTGCTGAGAATGAAGGAAAGTGAGAGTATTGATGATTTTGCAAGCAAGATCAGCAAGATCGTGTCTAAGGTTCGGGCACTTGGATCGACAATCGAGGAGAAGAAACAAGTGAATAAGTTGCTTAATTCTGCCACAAACAAGTTCCTTCCAATTGTTGCCACAATAGAACAGTATTCAGACTTGAATACTATGGCATTTGAGGAAGCTGTTGGTAGCCTTAAGGCCTATGAGGAACGGATTACTCCTGGTGGATCAGTCAAACATTCATCAGATCAATTGTTGTTAAAAAGGGCTGAATGGCAAGAAAGGCAGAAAACTGAGTCAAGGCAGGCCGACAGGGGTCGTGGAACAGGATTTAGTGATCACCGTGGCCGAGGTCGTGGGCGTGGCAGACCTAACGGGCATGGACGAGGGGGCCGAAATCCGTCAAATAATAACTGAAGTTTTGGACAGGATGAACAACGTGGTAAACGTGACCGAAGGAACCTGCGGTGTTATAATTGTGATAAGCTTGGTCATTTCTCCGCCGAGTGTCGGGCTCCTAGAAGAACCGATGATGAAGTTAATCTTGCAAAGGAGGAGGATGAACCCACTTTGCTAATGGTAAAGAATGTACAAGATGTGGTGATGCTGAATGAGGAGAGAGTGTTTCCTTGTGAATATGCCAAAGAGAGAAGCGAGGAAGGCACGTGGTATTTAGATAATGGTGCTAGCAATCACATGACCGGGGAACGGGGTTATTTTAGCAACCTCGATGAAAAGATAGTGGGACGTGTGAAGTTTGGAGATGGTTCAACAGTTGAAATCAAAGGCAGAGGGTCTATTCTTTTGCAATGTAAGAATGGTGACCAGAGGCTCACACCAACGTCTACTATATTCCAGACTTATGTAATAATATACTAAGTTTGGGCCAACTTGACAAGGTGGGATGCAAAATTGTTATGGAGGACGGTTTTCTTTGGCTATATGACCGTTCAGGAGCAACATTGATGAAAGTGAAAAAGTCTCCAAACCAACTATACAAGGTACATCTTCATATAGTTCCACCAACATGTTTACTTGCAAAGATGGATGAGGCGGCCTGGATTTGGCATGCACGCCTTGGACATTTAAACTTTGATGTTATAAGGAAGTTATCAAAAGAAAAATTGGTGATTGTTGTGCCAAACATAAATCACAAGTCAACAATTGTGTGAAGCTTGTCTCGTTGGGAAGCAACGACGTCTTCCATTCCCATCCCAAATTTCTTATCGAGCACAGCAGCCCCTTGAACTGATACATGTTGATCTGTGTGGTCCTATTACACCGAGTACACCATATAGGAACAGGTACTTTTTATTGCTAGTTGATGATTTCAGCAGATTTATGTGGGTATATGTTATCAAGTTCAAAGGCCAAGCATGTGAGGCATTCAACAAGTTCAAGAAGTCAGTTGAATTGGAAAGTGGTTACAAGGTGAAAGCATTGAGAACTGATCGTGGTGGTGAGTTTGTCTCTACCAACTTTGCAATGAAGAAGGTATAAATAGGTATTTAACCGCACCATATACGCCACAACAGAATGGTGTGGTTGAACGCCGAAACCAAACTGTTCTTGGAACCACAAGATCTATGTTGAAGGCCATGAATTTACCCCAATGGTTGTGGGGAGAAGGTGTACGACATGCTGTCTACATCTTGAACAGAACCCCGACAAAAGCTTTAGAAAAGAAGACCCCATATGAAACCCTAAAAGGACAGAAGCCCAATTTGGATTACCTAAAGGTGTTTGGATGTAAGGTGCATGTCAAAGTACCAACACCCAAATTAACAAAGCTGTCAGACAGGAGCAAGGCAATGGTACATCTCAGGAGTGAACCAGGAAGCAAAGCATATCGACTTTACAACCCAAAGACAAAAAGGTTATGTGTTAGCAGGGATGTCCACTTTGAAGAAAACAAAGCGTGGGATTGGGCTAAAGATTTGGAGACAGAGGGAAATGAAAGTCAGGTTGAATTTGTTGTTGAAAATGAAGCTTGTGTGACTGGTCAAGGATTGACTCAAAATGGTGGCAGCCCACTCAATAATACCTCACCCAATCACACTGAAGACCTGGCTGCTCCAAACGTACAGAATGAGTGTGAATCTGTTAGCACACCGGAGAATTGTTCGTTGTCTAGCCCAAAGTCGCCTGCCTCGGTTCCAAGCAGCCCGCATGGGTTTGAAAATCTTAGTACATCAGGTGCAAGTCCTATTTCAAGTTCACATTACGATGATACACCCCCTCGAGGATTTCGCCACCTAAATGATGTGTATTCAAGAACTCAATCGATACAAGAGAAGGCTTTCAATCCACCTCACTTTGATGACGCAGAACTATTAATATCCAATGAAGAACCAAGTACCTTTAATGAAGCCAAAGATAGCAAAGAATGGAATGCTGCAATGCAAGACGAATTGGACTCTATAGAAAGGAATGGAACCTGGAAATTGGTTGAACTCCCAAAAGGAGTTAAACCGATTGGTCTGAAGTGGGTTTATAAAGCCAAAAGGGATGCCAAAGATAATATAATTCGCTACAACGCGAGACTCATTGCGAAGGGGTATGTCCAAAAACATGGTATTGACTACGATGAGGTGTTTGCTCCAGTTGCTCGAATGGAAACAGTTTGTTTGCTTCTATCCCTAGCTGCACGAGATGGTTGGGAAGTTCACCATCTTGATGTGAAGACGGCTTTCCTTCATGGAGACTTAGAGGAGGATGTATATGTATCATAACCCGAGGGGTTCGAGAAGCCAGGAAAGGAACATCTCGTGTACAGACTGGTCAAAGCTTTATATGGCCTGAAGCAAGCCCCAAGAGCCTGGAATTCAAAGCTAAATGCAACTCTACAACAACTTGGTTTCAAGCATTGTCCACGTGAACATGCAGTATACAAGCGAACCATAAAGAATGGACCTTTAATAGTTGGTGTATACGTTGATGATCTAATCATTACAGGTCCATGCAAGGATGAGATTGTTGGGTTCAAAAGACAAATGAAAAACTGTTTTGAAATGAGTAATTTGGGGCTTCTAACATACTATTTGGGAATAGAGGTGAATCAAGACAAAACTGGCATTACTTTGAAGCAAACAGGATATGCAACAAAGGTTCTAAAAAATGCAAACTTGTGGGAGTGTAACCCTGCAAAATTTCCTATGGATCCAAGTCTCAAGCTTAGAAAAGATGAGGAGCTGGAGTCTGTTGACGCAACTGAGTACCGAAGGATAATTGGGTGTCTTCGATATCTAACCCATACAAGGCCAGATATGAGTTATGCAATTGGAATAACCAGTCGATTCATGGAGTCGCCAAAAACATCACATATGCAAGCTGTAAAACAGATGCTGCGATATTTGAAGGGTACATTCAACTACGGGATTCGATACACGAGGAATGGCGATGCAAGTTTGGTTGGTTATAGTGACAGCTCACATGCCACTGATCGGGCAGATGGAAAGAGTACAACTGGGATGATTTTCTATTATGGGGGTGGTCCGATAGCATGGTGCAGCCAAAAACAGAACACGGTTGCACTATCTTCATGTGAGGCTGAGTTCATGGCGGCAACGGCAACTGCATGTCAAGCTGTCTGGTTAAAAGGTTTGCTTGAAGAAAACACCGGTCAAAGCATGGAACCCATAACAATTCACGTTGATAACAAGACTGCAATCATGTTAATGAAGAATCCAGTGTTCCATGGGAGAAGTAAGCATATTGACACTCGATATCATTTCATTCGTGAATATGTCGAGAAAGAGCTAGTAAGGATTGAGCATGTAAGTGGTGACGAGCAGAAAGCTGATATCTTGACAAAAGCATTGTTGAAGGTCAAGTTTATCGAGATGAGGCAACTGATGGGCATTGAAGATTTGGCAGGAATGAGGACTGGAATCAAGGGGGTGAATGTTGGTTAATTCCAGTCCAGAATTAAGTTTAAATTTAAAAATAAAAAAAGAGACAGGCAGTTAGGCAGTTTTATGACAGTTTCCAACAGTTGTGTTGGTTAGAAACTGTTGTGTCTATTTGTAATGGTTGTGTTTTTTAGTCCTCTATTTATATGTATGGAAACATAGTTCTGGATAGCAGTTCCACAATAAAAAAAACACACTGTTTCTATACTTTAGATCTGTCATTTTTTCTGTCAGTCCAGTTGGCAGATTAAACAGGGAGTAACCAGATCGAGGGCCAAACTCAGGAAAAGGGAAGCCAAATGATGGTTTCAAGTATTGCAAAGCACAAATGAATCAAATACTAGCTTGTTCTTTTGTTTGAAAGTCTGAGAGAATTTGAGAGATCAGTGTTGCTGAATATTGAGGATATCTCTTGCATGTTTTGTTTAAAAAACAATTATGGTGATTTTGTGCAATGCTAATTATACAAATGGATGTAGAAATGTAAACCAACCCAGCAAAAGATTCTGATTTCTGACATAGTAACAAACACAACCTCCCTACCTCATCATGTCACAAACCAAATGTGCAGCTTTCTCATTCAAGGCACTCTCATCCTTTGCCCTTTTTATTCTTCTCGGAGATATATGCCTTCTGCCGCATAAACAACACGATAAAGAAGAATCACAGTACACAAATCCATTTTGTTGAGGATTCAGAGCATGCACAGTAACAGTTTTTTTTCTTTTGGCGATTCTAGATTATGAGCTAGGGGCCAAACTGGGTATAAGAGGCCCTAGGCAGGCTCTGGGTAGATGAAAAGGAGCAAACTGTTTCAGCTTATTAGCAAAACTGGAATAAATGCTGTGTCCTAGAGTGATTAGGCAGCATGGTTTCGCAAAATTTAAAACATACATATAATTCACAAACAATGAAACAACCAAATTAGAACCATTCAAAATCTAGACAGGAAAATAGAATAAGTGTTCACACCAAGAGTATGAAGGTCAGACAGGAGAAGCAGAAACTTAAATAATGGGACCAAAGCCGGCAGAACCTTTGACATTTTTTGAGGTACCACAGTGCATGAGTTCATGCATGCTGAGTCTGAGAAGGGCTTGTGCATCGAGGTCGAATGTATGCCGCCTTAACTTATATTTTTATTATATAAGAGGGTATCAAGTATCAACGCTGCTAAGACATATGATCTCGAGTTCAGATGGAAAGTGTTTTACCACCGCACCAAGGTTCCATTGTATTACTAAAGTAGTAATGAAATTTTATCCTCACACAGCATATACTTACATTAGTACATTGTGAGCCGCATAATGGGTTAGCCTTCACCTGGGACTAAGATATACTCCCTCCGTCCCTGAGTGTTTGTCCACTTTCATTTTTGCACACCATCCAACGCACTTCTTTTGTAATTTATATATTAAAAAATTATAAAAATTATATATTAATAATCTATATGTTAAGGCGAATCAAACAAGATCACACATGACTATTTTTAGGCTTACACATTGAGAGAATTTGATGAGTCAAAGTGCTTAGATGAACAGTTCCAAAAGTCAAAAGTGGACAAACACTCAGGGACGGGCCAAGTAATTGCTAGGGTGTTGGACACATCAACAATAAGAAGTACCCAGGGCATTGATCAAAACCCTGACTTTCT